TTTATTTATAATGTATTTGTATTCATTAAAGATAACACGCAAGTGGTGGTCGGGTCGGTTTATCCTCTGTCCTTTTTTCCTATACGTGTTTTAAACTTGACCCGACCCGACTTGACCTTTTTTTTTTTTTCGTTTTTTTATTTCATTTTTATTCTGCACGCATTTTTTTTTTTATCAACACAACCGTGCTGGTTCCAAATTTTCGTTCTCGTGGTCATCACACACACACGCTAAAAAAATTAATAAACATTATTGCGGGACGCGTGTAGAAATATTTTAGGTTCGAGTCCTTCGGATCATAATATTACAACCGCGGATTATGAATATCGTATGCAAATCGCAGTATACGATGTATGGTATTACAATATTATGTGATCGCAATATCGAACAACACGAAATTTTTTAATTTTATATGTTTTTAAAAACACGCCCGGGGGTTTGTACATAGAAAACTCGAAAAGCGTATGTTTTTTTTTCACTTTTTTTCCCCGGACGCAATACCGTTTTAAATGTATACTATTTAAGTGTTAACTGTACAGAGTGATTCTTTTATCACGAACCAACAATTTTCATTGTCCGCCATGCCACCATATCGGCGCACCACTGGGTAAATCTTATATTATAGTGTTACGCATATCAAAATGTTTAGAAAATTATTCTCTATTCGAATCAGTGATTGAAAGGGGTTGAGAGTTGCTATTTGAAAATCCAAAACGAATACTCATTTCGGATGGAAATCGAATTCACATAAAAATCCTCCGGGAGGATGGTTGATTCGTGATAATATGACTATCTTGTATATACTCGCGTTTAATATATACGGAATATAGGTACTTAACTGCGGGCTCGATGAATATATTATAAATGCAAATCGCTTTATAATTTATTTTTTTTTTTTTCTAATTGTTTGTTTAAATCGAAGAAACCCGATTTATACACCTATCAGACTTCAGAAAAACGATTTACATACATTTATTATACATAATTGTATAACATTACGGGCGGTGAAATTAATTCATTTAAAATCAATGAATGTACGACGCGAAACACATTTATACGTATTGTATACATTATTGTTATGTATTGAAAAATAAATTAATCTTCACAACGTTTATTATATATTGTATAAGCTGGTATTAAAATAGTAAGTTTTTTTTTTTTTTTATAATCATTATGTATTTCGCAATGCATCCACGGTGTTTTTTTTATTTTTTGCTTCGTCAAAACGGGAAATATTTATTTTCGACATTATACATTTTAATAGCTTCACCAATACTTACCTAACCTACACAGCTTCATAAACGCATAAATATTATATATTGTTAAATAATTGAAAACCGATTTATTAGAATTCATATAACGATCGCGGATTATTTAAACGTACTTCCTTGTTGTTTTCTCTGAAGTTTTTCGCGGCGCATAACCGTTCGAATTATTATTACAATCGACGCGAGGACCTAAACACCCACAAAACAAGTCTTTATAGTGGTGAAAATATACCGAATTCACATAATCGACATTACGGGGGCTTAATCTTCTCCCCGCCCCAAAATACGTGCGCTATTTGCTCCTGTATAATTTGTTTATTATTATCGTGTTAGTCGATAAAAAAAATAAAAATAATAATAATAATAAATAACGCGTAGTATATAGAAGTTAGAAAAAAAAAAAACAAATAGTTTTAGTTATCGGTAACCCCTCCGACGAATGCATTGGCACATATTTCGAGTGTCCGTTGCCTACTGGAAAACTTACCTACACTTGTTATAGGAACTGGTACGCGTTAAATAATCGTGTCGTATTTTGTGTCACAAGAAACGATTTTTGACCGTCTTAAACGTATACACCGAGTGCATAATTCGTGAACGATTATGGGAGACACGAAATTGTATAAATTAGAATAGATATATATGTACACAAACTCATTTTGATTCAATAACTACTTTTGATGCGAATTTCAATTTCAATGTGAAACCGAATTTACGTGTATCCGTCTTACAAACGTACGATATAGCATTAACTTAGGTATTTTTTTTTTAAAATAAAACGTAAAAGAAAATCTATTATTACGGTCCCTGTAAAGACGGGGAAACGGATTATCTGGACAAATTGGGATCCGGGAGAAGTGACCGACTCAAGTGGGAAGGTCACTCAAAGACCTCTGGGGGGAATCCGATGTTTAAAATGTGAAGACCGCATTAAGGAATGCGCGTGTGCTAAATCTGTCGTACAACGGCGTGACATAGCAAATTTGCAGCGTTCAGCGGGGACAATTTTGTGTTAATAATTTAAATACTAAAGTGAATTGACCTATTATCAAACTTAAATAGAGGAACACCGTATTGTGTGTTTTCGCGAAGTGTTTTTTTCCAACATTAAAATGTTTAAGAGAGATATTAGCATTTTTAAACAATCGTGATATTTCATACGCTCGCATATTAAAATTAAATTGACTTTGTCCAATTAAAGTAACGACGAAAACCAACGTAGTACAAACACAGATAATTTGATTCCCTTTGAGTTTAGATAAATTTACACTGATAGTGAAACTAACGGTCCGAAATCGGTTCAGCTGAACGCAAATTGCATACGTCGTCTTGTTGCGTTTGCAAGACATACTGCAAACGCACGCGTAGCGTGCTCATAAAAAAATTAAAATCCCGTGGTTTATATTCGTGTAATATGTAATATTCCGTTCTTGTAACGTACAATTTGCAAAATGTTTGACCGCAAATAAAAATTATGTCGTTTGCTGCGCATGTTTTCAATTGAGCGATAATATTAAACGCTTTGATTACTCGTGATTGATAAAAGTGATGAATGTGAATAATAAACAAATGAGTATGCAGCGGAATAAACCTAAAATTATATTAAATATACACCAACATTCATCTGAAAATATTTTTTTTTCCCTATAATAACTTAATAGTTTTTCTTTCGATTTTCGAAATAATTATACACGGCCCGCAATATCTTCATGCGTGTGCGATTACATTTTTTTAAATACACGCGTAAAATTTGTTTAACCATTGCTTTCCTACGTGACCACTATATTATACGTACAGGCGACTTGTTATACATGTTATCAAAATGTAAATTTAGATTCGCGAATATGAACGAGTTTTCGACCACGAAGACTGAATACTCTTAAATATTTAGAGACGATGACTGCAATTATCGAGGACAGTGCGCGCGTCGCTGTTTTTCAAACGAACGCGGTGTGCGAACCATGGTATTGTTTTCTCCCTGTTAATCAATCAATAACGTTATAAACTAATAATTCGATTAGCGCGAGAACGAATAATATTGAAAATTATTATTGTCACCGTCGGAAACGTCTGTAGGAACGAAATTGGCAGGTATTATAGGTAAACGCATGTTTGTAAAATTACGTTTATGGAAGGACAGAAATGCAGCGACATAATGACAATAAATAGTATTAGACGGCTGTACTATTCAATGCGTGTGTCTATACGACAATCGAAACAATGGTTGCAATGTTACAATTTTATGTATGATTTTCCAAGTGAACCTCCGTAGTGCCTATTGTTAATATCATAGGTATTTGATATATGAAACGTTTATTATTATTATATTATTGCGCAGTGGGATCGCGTGTCGCGTAAAATATATAATATTTCCTTATATCAGTGGCGGACCCAGAAGTTGTTCAAGCCGGGCGGTGGGGGCGCGTTGGAATCGAAACACGGAGAGCTCGGTAGACTGCAGGTATAAAGTTTTAGTGTTTTATAGTATTTTCAGTCTTGTTTTTAATACTTTTTATTTCCCCTGTTCTTGCCGGAATCGACAAAAATAAAACCGACGTGTCTTCAAGGTTTTTATTTTTTTTTTTTAGAAAAAATCGTTAAAATGAAATAAGAAGAAAAATCCGAATATTTTGAGCTGTAAAATTCTAAAGATGTGGTGTATTTTTATTGGCTGAAAAAGAGTTTTCTCAGAAGGGGGGGGAGGAGAAAACACAATATATAACATAGTAAAAACTTTTTACTGTACTCAAAATTTTAAAACTATTCATATTCGGTATCTTTTATTGTTTAACCTGTATCATAACACTGAAAAGAAATACATTACTGAAATTATTTTCTAGAACTAATAATAATGACGCGCAATTATATCTTGGATGATAATAAAAAAAATGGACAGGCCATAAAATGTAATCGCATGATAATTTAGTGATAACTTTTTAAGGTTATATGGGACAACTAAAATACATTATTTTAACCATCTTTTGTATTATAAATATATCAAAAAGAAAAACTGATCTATAATGAATACAGAAAGAAGTAATAACAAAGATTACAAATATTGTTATAAAAAAATATATTTATAATTATTCATTTAAAAAGACGGACATACTTCGCACGTGGCTGAGGCACTGTTGTAGGTGAGAAGTTGGGAAGATAGTAGAAGGAAAATTGAATATATGTCTTATAACGATAAAACGATTCTGAACGGAATTCGGTTGATAATGTTATTTTGTCAATAAAATATATACGTCATATTATGGTAAAATATTTACGTATTTTCTTTAACAATATTTGTTTAATATTGTATCTATTTTCTCGGTTTTCCCGTGTTTTTACAGGTGTTTCCCATTTAATGGGAAAACTCACGGGAAATCAAAAACTATCACTCAATGATCTTATATTTTTCATGGTTTTTTAGGGTCTATTCATCAACCCAATTATTAGAGTTAAGGGTACTTTTCTTTTAATTTTTGAGCTTCCAATGGGGTTTGCGAGGTATTAATCTATAGCTAAGGTTATTATATTCATTTTAATTACGTATGGGCAAGTTTTTATTTAGGGCATAATTGTTATATTCTCGAATTAGTGATCTTTATATTGCTATCATATTGTTATATTGCTTAATACCGGGAGCCAGGATACTGATTATCGGTATTGACTTTAATGTCCCTAATAGTCCTCTATTAATAATCCTAATAAGTATACTTTAATAGTCCTCATTAACGCGTTTAGTTAGGTATCTTTTTCGCTAGTGTTTAACCTGTTAAGCCATACTGGTAATGAGTAGACTGGGGCTAGTGAAGATATTCTAAGTGTGTTAGGACCCGAGCCCCAGTTAGTATTAGCAAGTTCATTTACTGTATTGTTACGTGTTTTAATTGTTGCTGCCACTTTAGTTAGATGTTCCCTGAATGTTAGTGTTCTGTTCAACGTCAAACCAAGAACTATTAGTAGAGTTATTCCATGGGGAGCAAGTATTGAACTTTGTGACAGTACGTTGTTTAAAGTTCTTTGCTTACTTTTTTCTGGAACATTACTCATTGTTTTGCATAGGATAACCCACAGGAGTTTATTGATCATCCCTTTGTGCTATACTGTACCTATGCAGCCGAGAGATTTATGAATGCTGCAGCGGATTTCAACTTTTTTCGAAGTCGTCTTCCATGCCATAGAATTAAATCACGACAGCTCCTACTTGTCCTGAATCCGGTCTATTCTACTGGGATGGTTTCATTTATAGTTCCTGCAATTCGGTTATATACAATCCGTTTTAAGATTTTGTAGGTAACAGTAGGGATATTGGCTGTTAGCTCTTGTTATCGCTAACCGGTTTCCTAGGTTTTAAAATAGGAATTCTGGATATACTTCGTCAAAGCCCGCACGTTTAGCATTTTTCATTGATTATGCTTTGTGGATTTCTGGTTTAGTAAAATCGTTCGCAAAATTAATTCTCTTTTCTACGCTCGTTTTCAGTTTTTCCAGTTCATTTTAAATATTTCTAGTAACATTTTTATCAACTTTCGCTCCGAACAACTGAATAATGCGATTCAAAATCTATGAATTATACACGGAATTAAAACGCACCGGACACTGATTTCAAATCGCATCGATATATTACTGTATAATATATTGTGTAGTTTATGCGAACGACCCGTTAAAATATACAATAATTATTTTGTGTATATTTTGGGACAGTAAATTTGCAAACTACATGTATGGGTCTAAAAATGTTATTATTATTAGCCACGGTCAACGTTCACTATTATCATTATTCCCCCTTCCCCCGGTTAGCGTATAACATTTATCCGTACATTTATTTTACCTATACATCTATTAATAGACTAAGAAGAAAAATATAATTGCTAAATTTCATATAAAAATACCTTCATGTATTGTACGTATAATTATATACGAGAAAATATAATAATAATTAACGAATACATTAAATTAAATTGAAGGAACCTAACCTATTATCATTATAAAAAAATAAAAATAAAATACGCAAACAACTCACAAATGTACCTATACAAAGGTAATACGAAAACTATTACGAGACAGTGATTATTTCTGAACAATTTAAGTAAACTTTAATTAATTCTTTCATTATTATTATAAAACTACTTATAGGTATACAAATAACTCTCGATGACTATTTGTAATAATTTAATTTTGCAATATTATATATAAATATAATAAGAAATTATTTTCCAATCATTTTTTTAGTTACGAGGAGTACATTTATATTCTATTTACACACCACCGTTCTTTTGTATTTGTTTAGTATTTCATTGTTATATAGATAATAAAGTGATTCGTAAAGTGCCGTATCAAAAATAACAATTCAAAATGAAATCTCTCTCTGAATGTGAAAATCGTACGTTGACATAGGAAATATTGAAAATGCGTGGAAAACGGTAACAGATTACATATAAAAAGTAAGTAAATAATTAAAAAAAAAAAAAAAAACAATTATTTAGATAAAACCATCAGAAATAATAACATTTAACCGTATATTATGTTAGCGTTTCCTAAAATGAATTTGTATCCGTAAAATTATCTCGAGCAATATTACTTTTATGACGGTTGACCTGAACACTAAGGATATTCTTGAAACTAATTGGAGGATATAGATCATCTTTAGAGGACCCGTTGTCTATGTCTGCGTAATTAAGCGCGTACCATTCAACACAAAAATAACAATTTAATCAATTAATTAAATTTATTCACGTTTTGGAGGTCTTTGTCCCCGTGATGACGGTTTCCTGAAAGTTCGGTTAATTCGGGAACATCCCTCAGTTTTCGGTAAATGTAGTATGACGTTTTTCCCCGTCTTAAACACTGGTAACGAACCGCCTCATACGCAAATATAATGTAACACAATTATTATACTACTATACATTTGTTTGAAAATATTATTATTTCGAAATAGAATATAAACACGTACTAAATATTGTACAGACTGTTATAATAATAATTATAATTTTTTTTTTAAACACCTATAAGTACACGTTTTTATTCTATTTCTAAATAACAATATTTTTAAATCGCCGTAAGTCCGACGTAGGTGGATGTACAGTAGAATAATAATTTTGTTCGCACGCACATGTCGTTGTTCTCCATTAGACGTATGCGTTAATACACTGCGGGCGTGCAACAGCTATTATTACACATCCACTTGCGATGGTTAAAATATAATATTTTGTAACTGCCTCGGCGCATATAGGTAGGTACCTACATAATACATTATACGTATACCTAATTACAGACGACGTTTTTAAAATGTTATGTCTATATTATAATAGAACTATTAAAGTGATGCGGACATTCGGACGGAGACGAGCGGTCGCACACAAACGGTTTATGCGTCGGCTTCTTAATTGTATCAATTAACCGACGACGACGATGAAGCGTGTAGTGTAAGACCCGGGATAAATATCAACGATCTGAAAAACTTGCACAAAGTATGGTCAATGGTTATATAAACTATCCGGCGTTATTCCATAGCTGATTTAATTTGAACGTCCCTCAACGCAGAACTAGTAACTAGACAAACAAAAACTTTATACATCCCATTTCAAAAACCGGATTATGTCCTCTAACGCCGACCGTCAATAGAACCACGCAATTAGCCGCGTAATGCTATCCAAGTTGACGCATTTAATTGTCCGCCTATCGAGCAGTTTCAGATTCTGAGCGAAGCGACAAATGTATTGGTTTTACAATGAGGTTTGGTTTTTTTTCTGCGAACAATTTTGTATCAGATTTTTAAGTGTAGCACTTTTTCCAAAAGGAAATTTGCGTGGGACGGTATTTTAGGGAAGTAAATTTTTATTTTCCCAGGAAAGTTTTCATAATAAATAAAAAACCGGGAAAAATCGGAAAAATCGTAAATATTATGGTCTTTCAAAACATATATATGGTGTAACCTAACTCAGTTCAGAATCGTTATTCGTTAGCAATGTTTAACCGTTGTGTACAGATACATATATAAATAATTTTTCCTCTACTTTTCCAAATTTTCACCTACAATTCTAGATTCTGGAGTAGTTGGTTTATATTTTGACCCGTGGTAATTTATTATTACCAGGGATTTATTATAATAAGTAGGTATCAAGGTAATTAGGGATAGTACTCGAAAACAACCCGACAGGAAAGTGACCATTAGAAAGCTCTCGCTTAAGATGAGAGGATTGTGTTGTCTGTGATGCAGGGCGGTGGAACCCGGAGTACAGCGGAAAATGCAATGGAAATAGAAGGAACATTATATATTTGGAGGACTGGTCTTTGAAGGTCGACGCCCCTTGAAAATAAGAAAGAAACACATTTGACGCGGAATTTCAAAGTTGAATCGATAATATATAGAGAGTTACCTAATCTGCACGATGAGGCACTAAACGGAGTGGATGGCTTTTTTATAGTCTCCCAAAAATAATGTCTAGTGATAAATTGCCCATTGACATACTTTTAACATTTTTTGTCTATTTCGTTTATGCGTTATTCAAATGTTTCGCAAATGTATTTGCTTTTTTTTTCTTCGCAACCGGTATACATATCTACAATGTCAAATAATGTGCGCATTAATTATATAGGCAATATCGTTTTACCCGCAGTAAATTCGGGTTACGTATTTTGACACTTAGACCATTATCGACTGTATTGTGTATTCCTCGAATTTGTTTCAAAAAAAAAAATTCTTCCTCGTATACAATAAAGGCGCCCAAAAACGTATTGTTTGTATAAGTATTCATAACCCAAAACGCGCCGCTCCCGAACGAATGAATCGTAAAACCGTTCTGTAAACATGTAGAAATATTATGTCAACACGAATTGCAATAAGCTGCAGCAGGTGCACTCGTTAAGTATTCATTATCAAACCGATTATCATTTTTCGTGTACTCACTTTGTATAAATAAATATCGTAAATAGTTACTAATTTGTCGTAGGTATGTGTAGATATAAATACGGCCGGTAATTAACGTTTCGGTATGACGACGACGCCTTCGTTATTATTATAAATATATATAAATGTTACTCATTTTCGGGAACGGATTGCATTGGTATAATATTATACAGGGTGTTTTAGATATATACGTACAAACTTTGAGAACGATCTTACGTTCCCATTTTACCGTTCTGCTAACGCGGGATTTCAAAAAGGACTGTCTCAGCTGAGCGTGAGGACTTTCCCCTCCCCATCATCTCTTCGAAACTAATATTTCGATATGTCACTAGATTTTTGAGTATTTTCGACTCGTGTGGCGGCATTACGTGTGAAACGTAATATCAACGTGATGGAGGTTTCGAGGGACGGAAATTCACACAGGAAAACTATTTTCCGTTTAATGCGATTGTTTCTATTAAACGCGAGAGATAACTTCCGTAAGTACAAAACGTAATACAGGTTTTCTATTCCGCTCTGCACCGACACGAGTTCGTTCTCAAAGTTTACATGAATATCCCTGAAACACCCTGTATGTATTCCTATACATTCTTTTTTCAATGTCCATGCGGCAAACAATAGTATTTGACATTTAGTGAAACGTATTGGTGAATTCGTTTCGTAACGTTCCGAGTGTAATTTAAAATCCGTTTTAAGTTGGTTTTACGGATATTTAATAATTTAAATAGTTGTACGTAATTATTCTAATATTCCATAATTTTGAAACAGGAAAAAAATATTAGGTTTAGTTTGAGCTACTTAATATACCTATAGCTATACAGGTAATCAAATTACAGTGTTTGTAAAAAAGTGTATTCATAGAAACGCAATTACTTTTATTCTTTCGATACGGTGAAGATGAATTCATACATTTCCAATGGAATACATTGGAGTGCACTCGTTATGACGACAAGGAATAGTGAATAGAAATGCATTACTTTTTTTTAGCTCGGAAATGCATGGCGAATCCAGATTTTATTTTGTAGGGGTTAAAACCGTTTACGACGATGAAAATTGATATATATTTTACTACAATACAAGAAAAAAGCCTACTATACTACACGGTGTTTGTGGAGTGACAAACTACCCTATTTTCCTCCTG